TGTGGGAGCTTTCTGCTGTGGTTCTGCAGCTTTTGGCAATTAGCAGGGAAGTGGAGCTGCTGCTCCTTTCCACCTAGCTTGTAGTTGCCCTCAGGGTCCTTGTGAGTTTCAGATCTTCTGCAACTCAAATTGTCCAACTTTAAAAAGCTTTAAATGAATCTTCCTTAAAATAACGAATCTTAAGGTCTGTCCTTAATAGAGCACAACAAGCCTTAGGTAGCAAGCAGTATTTATGTTAGAGTAAGTCAAGACACTAAAATAGATTTGCATGTACTGGTTTTATTCAGTGTCTGAAGACCTAAATCAAAAGAGAATACTCTTCTGAGTTTGGTTGTATTCACATTGTGAGTTTATTAAAATTTGTGAGATCAATTGGGATTTTAAAATGCAGAAAGGCATGGGTGGGTAGAAACCTTCTTTTTCAGATATTGAAAGACTTTACATCCATAGTGAGCAAAAATCAGTTGGTTTCATTCTTTTACTGTATGCTTGTAGTAAATATTTAAATATGTATTGCACTTAAAACTGTATAATGGTTTTCATATCCAGCCCAGTCAGACTACTTGATTGTAACACAGAAAAAATGAATAGCTTTTTGATTTTTCAACTACATACAGCTATAGTCTGACTATATAAATAAGTCTTTTTATTTAGTTAAAAAAACAACCTCTAGTGACAAATTTTTAACATAATTGTCAAGTCTTCTAATCAGCAATATTTCTAGTATAAAATTTCTACATAGGAAATTTTGGTGGGCTTTCAGTAATGAATTCACAAGTATAGATTTAAATAAAGATACTGCTGCGTAATTCTGATGGCTATTATTTTAGTCCTAACTAAACCTGACATCTGTGTTGGTGAGCCCTGCAAAGATTCCACTGTAAACGTTTGAGAGTGGCTTTCATTTAGTTGTTGGTTTCTAATTCTTGTGAATAGAGATTTTCTTTACATTATACAGTTTCTCTTGATTTGTGTAAAGAAAAAAAAAGAAAAAAGCTTAGATGTGCTGATGCCTAAAAATGAGGTTGTAGTTTGGTATTGATACATCAGTGCTTAAATGTCTTGTCTAGTTTTATTGATCTATATGAAATGCCTTATGTCTTTCTGTCATTATTATAAACTACATGCAATCAAAGTGAAGGAGTATTTCCTGTCATAAATTGCAGTTTCTTTTCCTTCTGATAATAGTAAATGTAGCTTTTAAATTTTCCTTTCTAGGGAATACTGTGGAATTCCTTTAAACTTCTTAGTGAGTTGCTTTTTGTAGGGGTAAAACTCAGAATACCAGTTTCCAAAGAAGTTTTATCAGGTCAGTGAAAATAAAACTCCAGAAGCAGAGTTGCTACAGGCAATCTCATCTCAAATCTTAGTAAACCTAGAAATTTCATGTTTAGTTTCTAGCTATGAGAACAACATGAAATCTGCTTCTAGAAATCAGGTTGTGGACTAAATGCCCTATTTGACTAAGCCAATCTACCTATTCCTGTAAAGATGCATAATTGTAACTAAAATAATATAACTCATATGCTTAGTAGAGAATGGTCATTTGCTTTTAGTAATTTAGGGCTGCTTTATAACTGCAGGTTGAGAAATCCAGAAGAGACTTTGCGGTTCAAAACAACTGGAGTTGAAGCTACTCTGTGAATGCTTCAGTTTAGAGAAACTGTTTTGTAGAATTGTCAAAACAGAGAACAAGTGAACTCTGCTGCAGCACAGAAATAAAGAACATGAGATATTAAAAAACAGAAATAAAGAACATGAGATATTAAAAAACTTTCCAACTTTTGAGGAATTATGAACTCCCTTGTAAGGTTTTGAAGAATTATTGTTTTTTCTATACTAGTCAACAGTTCTTTATATGGAAGCATTGTGCTTTGTAATTCTTTAATGTATTTTAAGTCACTTTTGTGAATGAGACACATGGTTTTGTGGTAAGTTGTTCTAAACCTTGTGCAAAGCATTTATATCGGTGCATTTGAGAGCTAGGTAAGTATGGTAACCATAATCAAATTCATAGGGTTCTGTTTTAAAACCTGAGCCACAGTGTCACACTCTCTATTCTAACTGAACTTCTCACAGAACTACCAGTGAGTTTGTTTCCATATATGACATGAAAAACTTAAGCTGATGCATGTCTTAAATTTGTAACTAAAGAGGCTTTAAACTGCATCAGTTGTCTTAAGTAGACATTAGATTTTCTTACGGCAGTGAGTAAAATGGAAACAATATGCCCATTCTTTCTCTGAAGTGAGAAAATACTGACTCTTTCAGGAAAGTAAATGTGCATAACAGAAATTGTCATAGATCTAATACAAATCTGAATTTGGCAGTGATATAAAGTGAAGAGTAATAGATTAAATTTAAAAGAAAAAAATCTCTCTTTTACAGGAATTCTGTGCAGCATGTTTTCTGGGTGGAACTGGGTGGCCTGTGGCTTATATCTGCTCTTGAATATTTTTTCTCTTGAAGGTAAGACTTCTGTGTCTCAAACACAAGAGATTTGTAGAACTTTAACCAGATGCTTGAAGCACACACTTGCTTTTTGTCTAGATACTTGTGGGATGGGGGCAGAAAGCAACGTCTGTCAGGATAGAGAGACCTAGTCTATGCCCTTAATACTATGGTAAAATAGTGCATGTTAAACCAATACCCACTTATACTTCTATTCATTGCTCATCTGTGTACAGAGATAGTGAAGAGCCACTTTGGTCAAAGGAAGGTTGCTTTGGTTCCACTGACATCACTGGAGCTGTAGCAAACTGAAGTTTAATTTCACATGTGCCAAATGGTGTCTAAAATAAGCTACCAGTGAACTAGTGTCGTAGGCTCTGTGTTCAAGCCAGAACCGTGGGCCACTGCTATTGTGCTCAAATGATCATCCTCAAGATGTTTGGTGTGGCTGTTTGATTCAAGGCAGTATTTCAGTCATCTATTGCATCTTTAAAACTTGACACTTTTCTCTATATATGCCTCTGTAGCAATAGTCACAATTCTATTGTTGTGATGAAGTTCCTTTGTAAAAAGAGTACTATCAAATGTGCAGAGTTCACTATAATTCCCAAATATGCTTATAGTATACACATTGAAGCTTTTGAAATGGACAGCTCGAGTATTGTAACTTTTGCATGCAGTCCTTCTAAAACTAGTCCATGACAACAAAGGTGCACACTTATCAAAATTTTTTATTGTTAACTTTCTCAACAGAAAATACCTTTTTAACTACAAGAGTAACCTCAAGCGTATTGCCTTCCTCCTTCAAAACATACTAAACATTCAATCCTTGACTCTCCCCTCTCTATAAAGGCTTCTGTTTATTAATAGAGCTTTTCTTGCTTGGTAAAATGCTTTTGCAAAGCCTAGGGAACACTACACTGGTTTTGCCGCTTAAATCTGCTTGGTGGTCCGTTAATGCATTTCAGTTTTATAACTGTCAAGTAACTAATTCATTTCCTGTTTAGACACATACAGCACTAGTGTAATGTTAAAAATGCTGCATCAGCAATATTGATTATGGAATGCTCTACAGTTTTTAATAAAGATGCAATTCTCTTTCTTTTTAGTTTCAGGTGGACTTGTACAGTCATGTGGTCACATCATCCCGGAGTCTCCTGTATTGGCCCTTGGTTCCAATTTCACAGCATTATGCATTTTGAATGAGAGTTGTCTTGACTTTGGCAATATCTATGCTAATCAAATTATCTGGAAAATTAAAAATAGAGTGGTACCTAAAGAACAGTATCGTGAAATAAACAGAACGGTTTCCAGTGTCACATTTAATGACACTTCTTCACTAGCTACTCCTCTGACATGCAACATTTTAGCAGATGGACAGATTGAGCAGAACATTTATGGAATTACAGTTACAATAGGCTGTAAGTACCATTTTTCTTGCCTTTTATTCTGGTCTTAAGAAAATTCTTTCTGAGAAACAGGAATGAGAATGAAACAATAGAAAGTGTGCGTGTTTTGAGACACTTGTTTCCATTCCCTCAGTTCCTGGGTAATTATATAAAAACATTGTCAAATTACATGCCATCAAAACTGGCAAATACGCGCAAAATAAAGTTTTCTAAAAAATAGAAAATACTTCGGAGTATTTCAGTGTTGAAATAGGAAGAAAACAGAACAACAGAAGAAAACAGAAAAATGTTGAAGCAAAAAGATTTAAATTACAAGAAAGATGATGTGAACTTAACTGAAATAGGTCCCAGGAAATAAACTAACTTTTCATTATTTCTTGCTTCTGTTTCAGTATTCAAGGAAATACAATAAGGTCATATGTCCTGCTTTCATAATAACACTGCGAAATTAATGTTTTCTTCATTAACGGACTGAGAAATATTTAGTCCATTTGTATCCTTGAAGCTGAATTGAACTGCCTTAAGGATGAAACATACTATTTGGATTACTCTATATATAAGAAAATACTTTTAACTAATTATAAACTCTCCTTGTTCAAACATGTTAGCTCTTGCATAGTTCTGAGCAAACGCTCTTTGAGACAAGACCGAGGTCTTGAGAAAGTAGCATGAATAACTTAATATGCTATTTCTTAATTAGTTGGTGGACCGTTTATAAAATAAGTTTTCAAGTGTCCTTAATATCGGAGTTTGAATGGCTGATGAATTATGTTGCCTCCTAGTGTTGGCAAAAGGTATTGCAGTTGCTGCATGGTCTGTGTACAAAAGGCTGGCTTGAGTTCACAATTTAAACTAATGTGGTTCTAGCATGAGTTACAAAACGCTGTCATAGAAAACCAATGTTTTCTATTTTGACTTCTGAGGAGCAATTTTCTTGAGTAATTTTCTTACCAGATAAGGTGTGACAGGCAAAATATATGGAAAGTTGAGGACAGATAAATATCCTAAGGTGGTAAACTGAATGACAGTACAGATGACATTCTACAGTTGTAATTCACGTATGAATCTTGAGATGCATTAGTATTTAAAGCTACTGTATTTTCATACTGTCAATTAAAGAAATTCTGTAAACAATGAGAATAACAACAGGTTTGAGAACAATACAACTATTCAGGAACAAAACTAAGTTGTTCATAATGTAGTTCTGTTGAAAATAGCATTCTGCTTGAAAGGAAATAAGATTCTTCAAGTACATGATACTCTAAAACAGTGATATTCTAAAAGCTAGAAACAAACTCTTTGTGCGCTATGATTTGAGTTTAAGACGGAAAACAATAGTCCAGCTACACTGTTTCAGAGTTCCTTACACACTACTAAAGTGCACTGAAGATCCCTTACCTTTCTTGTAGGTGTTCACAGCGAAAGCATCCTTCTTCCATAGCTCAAGTAGGGGAGAATAGACCTATTGTAATTGCCTTAGAGCTCAGGTTATTGGCAAAGTTAGCATATGCCAATCCAGCTGTAATACTCATTAGTGTTTTTTCTGTGTGATTTAAATAGATTTAGATGAGAGATGGTTGATAATCAGGTTTTCTGCCTCAAAGAATGAGAAATCTTCTGTGCTGTTCCTTACTGTCAGGTGCTTGTTCCTTGTACAGCCTACTGTTTCTCAGAGCAGCTAGTTAAGCTTCTTGACTTCCCTTGCTGGATGGTATCTAGCACTTTTTGCCCCCTCCTTTAGAAATAAATCTGACTATAAATACTTCTGATGTTCACTGAAGTTGCTCTAATGGGACACTTAGCATGATTCTTACTGGATTGAAATGTGTATATAGATTAATTACTGGTAACTTTTTCTGTACAGTGCCCCCAGAGAAGCCCAGGAACTTAAGTTGCATTGTGCATCAGGTGTCAAAACTCACATATCCTATGACTTGTACCTGGAACCCTGGAAGGCATACGTTCCTGGACACTCACTTTAGGTTGAAATACAGATGGTAAGTAGCCCTTTATAGAATATCTAAATAATTCTGAAGAATATTTGTAGGCTAAACTGTACTTCCTTGAAATTCCTTGATACTGTGGAAGAGTTCTTAACTTAAATCCAGTTTTCTGAAGCATTGCTGTCTATTTTGGGGAGAAGGGAAGAGTTAAAGTTCACATTTAAAGTAATGCTAAGTGAGACTTGAAATTTTGTTGCTGCACTTGTTTTGGAGTAACAGCTAGTGTTTTTTTCCATTCTTCAAATACATGATTAGTGTGGCTTGAGTACAATACACCTAATTACTAGGTGGCTCGACCCAAATGATATATTTTATGTTTTTCTGTGGTGACTGTTGTGTCCCATTCTAAACAAGTAGAAGATGCTCTTGCTCATTGCAGGAGGGTCAGACTAGATGACCTTTAAAGGTCTCTTCCAACCCAAACCATTCTATGATTCTAAGGAGAGAAACAAACATACACATATAGTGACTGGATTTTGTAGAGGTATTATCTACTCTGTACTTCCTGAGAACTCAGAATGGTGGGTGTTCACGGTTAATCCTAGTGTGAAAGCTTCAGCAAAAATCTCCTGTGAAAGCAAATTAACTTCAGTAATTTTCAAACTCTTCAAATGGTCTCTTGTAGTTTAAAATGGAGCAGACAGAATTGTTGCTCTGCTCTGGAAACAGGAATGACTGCCTACAGCTTTCAATCTGCCCCGTTCCACTAAAGTGTTTTGGTAACAAGTGTAGTAGAAAGTATGGATAGATAGAAAACCTTTATGCTTTGCAAATCTCCTGATGCCTTTAGACCTATCTGCTGTTAGTGTAGCAGAAGATGGTGAACAGAAATGATGATGGGTTGCAGCTGTAATGCTGTGCTCTTGAAGTGTATGCAGGCAATACTGACTACATCTTTTAATGCGTGAATATGCTTTTAGTTACTAGCTATACTGGTTTTGATTAAATGTATCAATTCTTGATCTTTATTTTTAAGCTGTTAGGTTTATATACAGCTTTTATAATCACAATACCATGGCTTGTGCTTTTGAAGATATGTGACTTGAAGTCAAGAGATTTTATTCTAATTTCTATTCTAATGCAATCATGCATTTGTAGCTAAAAAAGCCATTCTAATTTCTTCACCTTTTCTTCCCGCCCCTCTGCTTACAAAGCTAATGGCAGAGGGGAAACATACGAGCTAAACTGATTGATCACTCTGATCTACTTAAAAAGATTCTCTAAAGGAAACCAAACTTACTGATTTCTACCTTGTTTTTCCTTCTCTTTTATTTAGGCCACAAGAGAGCTTTCCTGACTGTATACCGAAAGATGTAAACAATTCTTGTACAATTACTGATGTTCAGTTCTTTGTTAATCTGGAGGTCTGGGTAGAAGCAGCAAATGCTCTTGGGAAGGCTGAATCTGATCCACTTGTTCTTGATCCCATTGAGATTGGTAACTATATGCTTCTTGATAAAGATTTAGTAGTACATAACTGCTGCTTCTTTGCATATTGCTGAATTGGTATGTTAATGTTTCTTCACTATAAAATAACACTACCAAATATTGTTGACTATAACTGGAACTGTGTTGGACAAAGGTAGGGAAGGTGAGATACTTGATCACAATTCAGATAGCAAGCTCTTCTTGAGTAGTCTGCTTTAGAAACTAGTTTTAAGTAGCAGCCATCTGAGTTTCTGAAAGGCTTTAATGGTAGTGTTACAGCATAGTGTACCAACTGCTAGAGGCATGATAAAATACAGCTGTAGAGTTGACTTTAACTCCTTCTCTTCTAGTTAAACCTCTGTCTCCACACAACTTATCAGTGAACTCAGGAATACTGCCTACTGTTCTGAAGCTTTCATGGGAGAATAGGATTTCAGCAGCTGTGATGAAGCTGAAATTCAATATTCGCTATAGGATTGTTGGTGACACAAACTGGATGCAGGTAATACCACTAATGTCCCTTGTCACTCTCTTGCTGTAACCCAGCCATCTGTCAAACTGCAGAAAAAGTTCCCTCACTGCTGCAGTTCAGAGGATTCACTTTGTTGTCCTTAGGACTTATGTAGCCTCCCAAGGTAGTTTATCTGGCCTGTTTATGAAGGCTGTGATCCATTTTTTTGTGGCACAATCTAGAGTACAGTGACCTTGGCTTTTCTTTGTGGACTTCTCTGCTGTCCTCCCCATCATATTCAAGTATGTTTATTTTGAATTTTTATTCTGTACATACAACATTAGAACATTAATGAACTTTCATCTTCCCAGGTACATGCAAAGTTACTGATCTAAATGTCATTTAAAGCTTGGGCAAACACTGTACAGTGCTGGGATGCTTTTTTAAACTTGCTGTACCTGCACTTGGATCACAGTGACGCCTTGCAGCGCTACGGGCTTGGGGGTGAGTGGCTAGAAAGCTGCCTCCCAGAAAAGGACCTGGGTGTGTTTGTCGACAGCCAGCTGAATATGAGCCAGCAGTGTGCCCCGGTGGCCAAGAAGGCCAATAGCATCCGGGCTTGTATCAGAAATAGTGTGGCCAGCAGGACCAGGGAAGTGATTGTGCCCCTGTACTCGGCACTGGTGAGGCCAAACCTCAAATACTGTGTTTGGTTTTGGGCCCCTCGCTACAAGAAGGACATGGAGGTGCTGGAGCGTGTCCAGAGGAGGGCAATGAAGCTGGTGAAGAGTTTAGAGCACAAGTCTTATGAGGAGCAGCTGAGGGAGCTGGGGTTGTTTAGTCTGGAGAAGAGGAGGCTGAGGGGAGACCTTATCGCTTTCTACAACTACCTGAAAGGAGGCTGTTAGAGAAGGGGGGGTCAGTCTCTTCTCCCAAGTAACAAGAGATAGGACAAGAGGAAACACTTCAAGTTGTGCCAGAGGAGGTTTAGATTGGATATTAGGAAAAACTGCTTCACTGAAAGCATTATCAAGCACTGGACCAGGCTGCCCAGGGAAGTGGTTGAGTCTCCATCCCTGGAGGTATTTAAAAGACATTTAGATGTGGCACCTAGGGACAGGGTTTAGTGGTGGAGGACTTGGTAGTGTTAGGTTTGTGGTTGGACTCAATGAAAAGTCTTTGCCAACCTAAATGATTCTGTGGTTCTATATAGTATGGTTGTCCTGCATACATGCCTTAAGCATGATACAGTCAAGGAACTGGAAAAGAGTAAGGAATATGCCTTACTAGTAGTGCACTATAATATGTTCATGCAGTCAAGAGTTGTGGGGTTTTTCTTCTACATCAGTCTATGGACATATTTTCAGTAGCTGCTTAGTTTTGCGTTTCTTTAAGTCTTCTCTCAGAGCAGCAGTATTCCAGAAACACACTTTTCATCAAGATCGTCCTATCTTCTGTTTCAGTACAGAGGCCCAAAAGTATTCTGAATTTCATGACTTGGAAGGAGGACTGCTTCTGAGTTAAAGTATGGTGTTTGAAGCAGGTAGCATAACACAGCTGCTTGTGGCTAATGTAGTGTATTCCTTTGGAGGAACTTTTTGAGCTTTAGATGCAGAGACTGATTATTACAGTCACCTGTATTGATATTTTAAATAGCACTGTCCCACACAGCTGATACTGCAACTCCAGGGTCTGTTCGTACATTGTCCTTTTAACTTGTCTTGCCCTTTTAACACATGCACAAGACCATTGAAATAGTAACTCTTAAAACAACTGAGCTTGCTTAGCTGTGGTAAAATTTGACTGCTTTGACAATTCTTTGCGCTCAGGATTAACCTCTTGAGTGTCATGCATGTGTGTTTAACGTGCAGTCATTACTCTTGCAGGGTTGCTCACTATAAAAACCTCTTAATTGCAAGTGGAATAACATGTGATGGAGTCAGAGTGTGTGTCTGTGTGTACCTACATATATCTATTATCTACATCACACTTCTTACTGCATGTGTACAGAAACAGATTATTTTCTGGCATTCAGTGCCTAATCCAAGATAAAGGAAAGCTTACGGAAAATAAACTCACTTACTAGCAAAAGTATAAACTACTCTAAAACAAACTATTTCCAATGTCAGGTAAGAAATGCTGTTCTGTATCAGTGGAAGCAATGATCCTGGATTCTCTAGCTTTATAGGAGGCTTCTAGCACAGATACTTTGCAATCAGTAATCAAGCATATAACCTAGAAAAGTTCTAAAATGTGAGGTGGGATATTACAAATCAGTAAGTAGAAGAATTATATGGGAAGGAAGGAGAGGTATACAAACTAATCAAAAAAGAAAACAGAATATGAGAGATTGTTCTGAGATAGCTGCTTATCTATTCTAGTGTATGTATTGTATTATAGCTGGTAAATATACACAACTGTGACTGATCCCTTACCAAATTATGGTTGAGAATTGAAGCTTTTGGAAATAAGAGGGGAGAAAAACTCTTCTTTGTATTGGGTGTGTATGTGGTGGGGAGTCCTCTTGAATGGGAGCTGTTGTAGCACAGAACTCAGCTTTACGATTTTTGATCAGTGCCTCTCAAATCTTTCTTCCATTTACAGGTTCCTCCTGAAGATACAGCTTCACCAAGAACTTCATTCAGTGTTCAAGGACTCAGACCCTACACAGAGTATGTCTTTTCAATTCGTTGCATGAAGGAAGATGGAGTGGGCTACTGGAGTGACTGGAGTGAAGAGAAAACTGGGGTCACCACTGAAGATAGTAAGTAATATATGAAAGTAGGTCACTGACTTTCAAAATGTGTGAGTGCTCAGCAATTTGGCAGTAGCCAACTGAAAGCGTGTATCCTCACTTGTGCTGTTTGATTGTACGTGCAACAAGGCTCTCCTGGGTTACTCCCAGTACTGACTGACTTAACCCATGCATTCCAAGGAGCATGAGAATAGCTTCCCATAAAGCTAGTCTAGAGGTGCTTCCTGAAAACAGCTAAAGTGGGAGGTAGGAAAGAAAAGCTTCCTTCACAGAAAGTTATATTCTCAAAGCCTTTTAGAAGACATTAGGCTTTATGCTTGTTCTTTTGTTCTGAAGGTTATTCTCTGAACAAAAGCTGTTCTGCCTGTGCGAAAGTGGTTTTTTTTTTTTGGCAGACAGACTGCCTTGGTTTATGAACAACTTGGTGTTTAGGAGGCCATTAGATAAAGTCATAGGTGAAGAAGCGTCAATAAGTATGAAACAGAAGATTTTTGGTCATATAGGGTACATAGACTTCACAAACTTAGTAAAGCAATGATGTGAAATAATGTGCATGTGGGAAGTGTAGCATCTTATGCACCAAAGCATCTAAGTAAAACTCTGTTTTACTCTTAACTTTTACCAAGGTATTCTGCATCTACAACACTTTCTTCCTTGTCAGTCACTTACAGCTGCCTTTGCACTGTCTTGTACCCACTTGTTTACAATATTCTACATACAGTAATCAAGAGTCTTGCTGTTCATCACAGTTGTCACTGTGGGAGGCATAAGAAAGAGAATGCCATCTACAAACTGCTGACTTTAAGCAAGATTGAGTCTGTGTGGATGGACAGTGGTTTTATTTTGGCTATATTTAATCACAAAAATCCCTATTTACTTACAATTTCCCTTCTTGATGACATAATCATTGTAGTTGTCTTGTAGATCTGGACTTGTAATATCCCTTTTTAGTAGGGGTGAACACTGAACTGCTGCTGTCATGATTTAATGAGGAGAACTTCTTACCAGCATCAGCTCTTCGGGGGCAGTATTTGGATCATGTTCAGCCTTGCACAAAAGGACTTTACAAGCAGGATGTATACAACTTCAAAGTATAAACCGATTACTACTTAAGATGCACAAAAGATGGCAAACCACTAGGTTATGCTTTAAGTTCATAACCCTGGAAAAAAACTGCTTAAGAGCCTTGGTCAAGTGTCAGCCTTCACAGCTTTGTGGAACAAATCCTCAGCACTGCAAAGTTGCTTCCATGCACCAGCTCATCAACTTGTCTGGCCTTTCAACTCTTTGTGATGCTCCAGTCAGTCCACATGTTATGACATTGTTTCTATTGAACTGTATGTTCTGCAGGTGTGCTGCATCACCCTAGACTCATTCATATTCCTTCAGGACAGTGGCACTGAGACTGTTACTGCATCTTGTGTCTCCTAAGATCTGTGTCCACTGCATCCACAGCATGGTTTTTAACTTCACTGATAGCTTCCAGTTGCTCATGAACACATGCGTTGCTTGAAATGTGTCATGGTCTAACCCCAGCTGGCAACTAAGCCCCATAGCCACTTGCTCACTCCCCCCCGGTGGGATGGGGAGAGAATCGGAAGA